AGATAAATTTATAGAAAAGGAAATACAAAAAATTCCATGTGCTTCAGCAGTTAGGAGTTTAATGTATACTTAGGTTTGCACATATTTGAATATAACATTCATTGTTGGAATGCTAGGCAGATATTTAATTAACTCAAAGATTGATATTTGAAAAGCAGCCAATCGGGTTTTTTGGTATTTATCGAGAACTAATGATTACATGATCACATAAAAAAAATCATATCAATTGGAGATTATTGGATATTCTAATTTTGATAATGGAATATGACTATGGAATTGTCATTGGGCTGTACATTTTGGATGGAAATGAAAGACCATTTAAGTTATTTTTTGACAATAGAAGTCTTGTATTCCAACATGAGCACAATGATATAAAAATTTATAGACATTAAATTCCTAATTGTTAAAGAAAGAATTCAAAGTGATTAAGTTTCTATAAAGCATATTAGGACAAACTCCATAACTATGGATTCATTTACTAAATGGCTGCCACCCAAGCTTTTCATGAGCATAATCCTCACATGGATATTGCATATTTTGATGATATGTTAGTTTAGTGGAAGTTTGTATTTTGATGTTGTCTGTTTTAGACATATAATTTATCCATTGATATTTAGTTTAATTCAAAAATAATGTATTAAGTTCAATTTCACTCTGATTAAAGTTATGGTTTGATTTTATTAAAAAATAAGGTACGACCAGTTGGAAATAGACATGTTTGGATCACATTACATGTAATTTCCATGCTATACATCCATACTTGATCTATGTCATCTATGTCATCTGATTGTGCTGATATACGTGATCATTGTGGGTTTAGTTATGATATTTGTAATGAAGACCGCTTTGATCCTATATTGACATAATTGATGGACGATATTGTTCGAAAATGCTTTTGGTTATGATAGCAAAAGTATTGAGCTCATAAGGTTATATACAATTATAAGGTAAACATATGGGTCAAGTGGAAAATCGTTGGGAAAATATTTAGTTTACCATGTGGGCCGACATATGTAATTAATTGTTTATAAAGACTATCTTAAAGTTAATCCCAAAATTAAAGTGATCTAATAAAGAATTAAGTAATTGAGCTTTAAGCATCTAAATAAAGTGTGGGTCGAATTATATGTGTAGAAACCGAATCCATTATGGTTGTATTTGACGATGAGCTAAATACATATGGAAACTATATATATAGGGTTATGGTCCTCAATTCATATGCAACTTCTCATTCTTTGTGTCTCACATCAACACAAGAATAATTAAGCGAAAGTATATTGAAAAGGAAGATCCAATACCCACAATCATGATCCTTACCCAGTTACCCGTAATCAACTATCAAAAATCAAGAATTAAAGAATCAAAGCAGGCAAAATTCAAGATCAAAAGTGAAGAATCCAAACATAAAAAAATTGCAGTTCAAGTTTCAAGGTCTGGAATCAAGATTCAGTAATAAGGCATTATTTCCAGTGAATTAAGGTACATTTCGAATTAAATAATTTGGGAATAAAGAAATTTAGGTTTTCAAGTTATAAAGTTCTGGAGATTAAAGTTTTAATAAAATTCCAACAGCTACATCAACAACCAGATTTTCTCTCTTTTATTGACGTTTCTTTCCATTGTTTTATAATTCCAGCATAATTCCTAATTTCCTTTCGTATTTTCCAAACAGATTTCATCCAACTAAAGCTTACATGAGCAGTACGATTCAAAAATTAATACTCTGAACCTAGCATCAGTTAGATATAAAAATATCTTGTGATACACCTTTTAAAATGCCGACTTTCTAAGATGAACCAAGACTAACAGAATAATAAGAAATGAGCTAGTCCTCTTATAAAAATATAATATTATACCCATACTACATAATAATCAAATTCCAAGATTAATGTTCCCAAACGAGCATCATTGAAATATAAAGCTATTAAGATGACAATGTTGGAAAAAATTCAAAATAAAATGAATTGCGAATGAAGAATTGCAACAACAAGCTTTTGATTTCAAATTTCAATCCTCTAGTTAATTTTGTATTGAATTGGTGGTTACAAAATTCTTGATGGCTATTGTAACATTTTGGTTTTAATACAAAATTAACAAGAATTGATACCTCCCTTATCCTAGTGCTATATAAGGAGATGTTCTCCTCCTTATTCCACACACCAAATTTTTTTGAAAGCTCTCTCCTCTCTCTTTGCTTTTAAGAGTTTTTCTTTGAAACTTTGATAATTATTTTCTAACTCGGTGATAGAATTGTGAGTGAATAATTCGCCTAAAGTAGTGATAAGGTACTAGTCAACTACTTTCAATCGTTGTATCATGAAAGAGGGGCGTCATCAGTCCTCTTGCACCAGGGGACGAATCTGTTTTAAGGAAATTTTATGTAACACAAACCTCGATTCTTTCCAATACTGCTACTGTTGGGAAAATATTTAATTTACCATGTGGGCCAACATATGTAATTAATTGTGTAAAAGGCTACCTTAAAGTCAAGCCCAAAATAAAGTAATATAATAATTAATTAAGTAATTGGCATCTAAATAAAGTGTGATCCAAATTATGTGTAGAGATCAGATCCATTAGGGTTGTATTTAATGATGGATCAAATACATATGGAAATTATGTATAGAGTTATAGTCCCCAATTCATATGCAACTTTTCATTCTTTGTGCCTCCCATCAACACAAGAATAATTAAGAAAAAGCATATTGAAGAGGAAAATCTAATACACACAATCATGATCTTAACCCGTAATCAACTATCAAGAATCAAGAAGAAAGAATTCAAGAATCAAGACTACGAATCAAGAAGCAAAAACAAGAACAAGAATTAAAGTATAAAAGAAGGCAAAATTCAAGATTAAAAGTGAAGAAGCCAAATATGAAAAGATTGCAGTTCAAGCTTCAAGATCCATTAATAAGGAATTGTTTCCAATGAATTAAGGTATGTTCTGCTTCAAATAATTTTCTTGATGATTTAACATGGAGGATCTTGGCAATAAATAAATTTAGGTTTTCAAATTATAGAGTTCTTGAGATTGAAGTTTTAATAAAATTCTAACATATGGTATCAGAGCCAATTCCATGTCAAATCATTGAGAATAAAGAAGCATTTTTAGGGTTGAAATTTATATTTTTGGTTTTCCATGTGCTTCAGCAGTTAGGAGTTTAATGTATACTTAGATTTGCACATATTCGGATATAACAATCATTGTTGGAATGTTAGGCAGATATTTAATTAACTCAGAAATTGATATTTGAAAAGCAGCCAATCGGGTTTTTTGGTATTTATCGAGAACTAATGATTACATGATCACATAAAAAAAATCATATCAATGGGAGAATATTGGATATTCTGATTTTGATAATGGAATATGACTATGGAATTGTCACTGGGCTGTACATTTTGGATGGAAATGAAAGACCATTTAAGTTTTTTTTGACAATAGCAGTCTTGTATTCCAACATGAGCACAATGATGTAAAAATTTATAGACATTAAATTCCTAATTGTTAAGGAAAGAATTCAAAGTGATTAAGTTTCTATAAAGCATATTAGGACAAACTCCATAACTATGGATTCATTTACTAAATGGCTGCCACCTAAGCTTTTCATGAGCATAAAGCTCACATGGATGTTGCATATTTTGATGATATGTCAGTTTAGTGGAAGTTTTTGTTTTGATGTTGTCTGTTTTAGACATATAATTTATCCATTGATATTTAGTTTAATTCAAAAATAAAGTATTAAGTTCAATTTCACTCTGATTAAAGTTATGGTTTGATTTTATTAAAAAATAAGGTATGACCAGTTGGAAATAGGCATGTTTGGATCACATTACATATAATTTCAATGATATACATCCATACGTGATCTATGCTATCTAATTGTGTTGATATACGTGATCATTGTGGGTTTAGTTATTATATTTGTAATGAAGACTGCTTTGATCCTATATTGACATAATTGATGGACGATATTGTTCGAAAATGCTTTTGGTTATTATAACAAAAGTATTGAGCTCATAAGGTTATAAACAATTATAAGGTAAACATATGGGCCAAGTGGAAAATTGTTGGGAAAATACTTAGTTTACCATGTGGGCCCACATATGTCATATGTAATTAATTGTGTATAAAGACTATCTTAAAGTTAAGCCCAAAATTAAAGTGATCTAATAAAGAATTAAGTAATTGAGTTTTAAGCAAATAAATAAAGTGTGGGTCGATTTATACGTGTAGAAACCGAATCCATTAGGGTTGTATTTAACGATGAGCTAAATACATATGGAAACTATATATATAGGGTTATAGTCCTCAATTCATATGCAACTTCTCATTCTTTGTGTCTCACATCAATACAAGAATAATTAAGCGAAAGTATATTAAAAAGGAAGATCCAATACCCACAATCATGATCCTTACCCGTAATCAACTATCAAAAATCAAGAAGAAGGAATTCAAGAATCAAGACTACGGATCAACAAGTAAAACCAAGAACAAGAATTAAAGAATCAAAGCAGGCAAAATTCGATATCAAAAGTGAAGAATCCAAACATAAAAATTTTGCAGTTCAAGTTTCAAGGTCTGGAATCAAGATTCAGTAATAAGAAATTATTTCGAGTGAATTAAGGTACGTTTCGAATTAAATAATTTGGGAATAAAGAAATTTAGGTTTTCAAGTTCTAAAGTTCTCGAGACTAGAGTTTTAATAAAATTCCAACAGCTTCATCAACAACCAGATTTTCTCTCTTTTATTGACGTTTCTTTCCATTATGTTATAATTCCAGCATAATTCCTAATTTCCTTTCGTATTTTCCAAACAGATTTGATCCAACTAAAGCTTACATGAGCAGTACGATTCAAAAATTAATACTCTGAACCTAGCATCAGTTAGATATAAAAATATCTTGTGATACACCTTTTACAATGCCGACTTTCTAAGATGAACCAAGACTAACAGAATAATAAGACATGAGCTAGTCCTCTTATAAAAATAATATACCGAGAGAAGAGCTTCCGAATCCACGATGCGGCGAAATAGGTCGAGCTGCTCCAAACAAAGCCTCTGAAAATCAGGACTCGGCAATATCAAAGCTTTATTCTTTGCACTGTCTTTCTCTATTCTCTGCACGAATTCTACTGGAGAAGTCGATGCCTTCCGTATCGCAGCCGCCACCGCCGCAGCCGATGACACCAACGGGTCCTCCGGCTCCGGCTCGCCGCTTCCTCCAGCCTCATCGCACGTGCTGTTGACGTGATGGAGTAAAGTGGAAGAGTTCGAATTGGGGGAATTGGCGACGGAGAGTGGAGAAGTGTTGGCAGTGGCTGGGCAGAGACTGGAGGGACGGGGCTTATTGTAAATAGGGGAGAAGATAGGGACAAAGGTGGAATTATTGGATAGCGGAGATTGTGGAGGAAATGTAGAGAGCAGCATTTGATCTTCTACAACAGTTGAAGAAATGATTGGAAATAAAGATGAAGAAATGTGAACACAAGTCACAACTCCAAACTTGTAAACGTGCGTGTTAATGTTATAAATCGTGTTGATTATAAACACCAACCATTGTCATTGACGGTCTTAAACCTGTATAATTTTACAGGTTCAATCCATATCATCAGCATCATCATAAATATTATAGTATGCTTGTGTTTGACATCCATTTTGAAGAAAAAATAAATTCTGGAATAGTGATTGATGGAAGAATGTGTGGTTGAAAAGTAATGAAAAATTTTATATTTGTATATGATATTATATTATTTGGAGAATGTGTGGTTGAAACGAAAAAAGAGAAAAAAAAAATGAGAATGAGTGTCAAACAAGGACGTGTGGTAGCAATTCAACAATATGCACAAATATAATACTTTCTCCGTCCCAATTATATAGGTTGAGTTTTCTTTTTCTCCTGTTCCAAATATATAGGTTTGTTTTCTAATGTAAAATATTTTGTTGTATTCTTTTACCAATATACCTTTATTAAATTTTCTCCACTTAATATGTCAATTTTCTTGAAATCATCCAAATACACACATTTCCCAAATATGGAACAACTCTCATTTCTTCTTCTTCAAATTCTTTATTAATTCCAATAATAATTTAGTTTTACATACTGAAAATTAAATAGGGATAAATTAGGAAAGATTTTGATAAAAATTAATTTTTCAATGACATTAAAGAAGTTTTCTTAATCGGTGTGAAAAACGAAACAAGCGTATACAATTGGGACAGATGAAATATAAAAAGATGCAGTAAATGTTGCCAACATCTCTTGAGAATGTCTCAATAAAGAAAATGAAAAATCAAGTTCAATCTACGGTCTCAACTTGATTGTCTCACCATTTGATATCTTTTTTGAGGTTTCAAAAATTTATTGGGCATAGTTCATCATGTAAAGAATTACAAAATATTTGAATATCCACTAAAGTTTTGACACATCTGCAAGGACGTTCTCTGCTACATTATTAAAATGTTGAAGACTACGGTGTCTAGAATTAAAGATTAGGGATTCATTTTCACATTTGTAAAAGTTAGAGAACTCAACTACAATTTTTTAAAAGTAACATAAATATGAGTGAGCAACGATGAGACTGAACGATATCGAGTGATCATTATTAACATTAGTGAAATCATTATCAATGACCAATTTGAAATTTTGCACGCACATCGCTATTGAAATTAACTCATTCAATTATATAATTGCAAAATGTTGCATTTCTCTTAAGTGGTTCAAGAATCAAAGATTCGAGTGTATTACTTGCCTAATCATACTACATGAACATAATATTTGACGTAATGTCACATGACATTTCATCATTATATTATTTTAAACACAGTTAGCTTTTCCACACAATCACCACCCATCACAGGGTCTTTCATCATTGCATCTGACCAGATTCTTCTGACAAAGTAGCATTATTCTTACTTGCTCTGTTAGAAGAAAAATTAAAAAGTTCAAATGGTTGTGAAATAATAAATTTAAGAGAAATGATTTACTAAACATTAATGACATGACTCATAAACCATTGATGGATAAATTTATGGTGAATTTAATGATCTGAATTAAATTTGTTATCCATCAATAAATTTATATGACATGTCACCGATTTAGTAGATAAGTTCTCATTATTTCAATGACACTTAAATAATTTCTCCCACCTTTTTACGAAATTTAAGATATGCTCAAAGAAAATTTACTGTAAAGTGGAGACGTAAAAGTAGATCACGCCGTTCTTTGCCGTTCTGACAAAGAACTGCACATTGAAACAAGATACTGAAAACAAGATGAAGTAGAATTACGAATAATATTAATCTAGGCTTATGTTTATATGTATGACTCTAATAAACCAACATTAAACTTGGAAACATTAACCAATCCATTCTATATTGTACATCATTTTTTGATCGAAAGACATTAGTTTTCTGAAATTCTGCATTATCTACTTCCATATTAGGCTTAAGCCTATAACACACACATTAAGATTGGGAAATATAAGCAGATAAAAGAGCACCTAAAACGTTTTGATAGTGTAAAAAAGAAAACCAGATCAATCAAGCCAACCAAGAAGAGAAGCTCGAAACAAGAAAAAGAAGTTATGAAATCCAGGCTTCAGTTTCTATATATGGTTATAATGAACCAACATTAAACTTGGAAATAATTGTACAATATTTTCTGACCGAAAGACAATGTTTTCTGAAACTCTGAAATATTAGGGTTGTTCTCTTCGTGTTTCAGTTTTTAGTTTTGAATTCATTTTGGATTTTGTGTTTTGAGTGTCCATTTTGAGATTGTTAAAAATGCGTTCTTTTTGTCATTTTGAAAAATTGTTTTCAAAAAAAAAAAAAAAAGAAGAAGTTTTGATTGGTTTTAAATGAAAACAACCAAAACGAATTTTTTTGCGTTTTGTTTTTAATTTTGAGTTTTGAATTCATTTCGAGTTTTGTGTTTTGAGTGTCCATTTTGAGATTGTTGAAAATGTGTTCTTTTTGTCATTTTGAAAAATTGTTTTAAAAAAAAAAAAAAAAGAAGTTTTGCTTGGTTTTAACTGAAAACAACCAAAACGACTTTTTTGGCGTTTTCCATTTTCTTTGTAAATTTTAAACTCGTTTTTGGAAATTTGTTTCTGAAAATAGATAAATAAACGTGTTTTCAGTGTTTTCGAAAACTGAAAATTGAAAATGTCTTGAAAAGAGTAAAGAGAACATACCCTTAGTATTCTTGTTGGGTTTAGAATAATAACAAACATTAAAGATTTTTTTAGATTATAAGATAATCAAATTTCATTTTTTTTAACCACATTTTATTGGACTCACTATTATAGATAATCATTAAAGATTATAACAAACATTAAAGATTTTTTGAGATTATAAGTAATCAAATTTCATTGGACTCACTACTTTTATTTGCTATTTAACAACACATTTCATAAGATTAATCATCATATAATATTAAAAAGATATGTCAAACTGGGTTGATGGAAATCCTATTAAATTATTATATTATAAATTTTCACATTAAAATTTTTATTTTAGAAAAAATTATTAAGATTTATTTACTACATTTTCCATGAATTTATTGTTTATAGTTACTAGATTTTCTAGGATTTGATTAGATGCTTCCTACTTAGAATATAATTTTTTAAACCCTATATAAATTGACTTATGCATTATAGTATAAACAATTTTGAGAATGAAATAAAACTACTCTCTGTCTCGTAAATTATATTTTGTCATTCTAATTTTTCACATTTTTTTCTTCCTCCTTCTACACCCCTCCTTCTCTTTTTCCCTCATTTCCCTTCTTTTTCTCCTTTCCCTTCTCTTCTTACACTGCTCTCTTCTAGTTCTTGTTCGACAACGTCCGTCTTTAATTTAATATCAAAGCAGTTCATTTTTCTTTGACCAAACTTGATTATATTAATTTATTAGATTATCTACGATTTGATTAGATATTTCATATTTAGAATAAGTTTTTGAACCCTATATAACGGGGCTTATGCTTTATAATAGAACAACTTTCAAAGTGAAATAAAAATACTTCATCTCTCTTAAATTCTACTTCGATATATCTAATTCTACTTTCCTTACTATCTTCATCCTACCTCCCCTTCTTCTCTTTCCCTTCCTTTCTACCCTTCTTCCCTTTCCCCTTCTCTTTTTTCCCCTCTCTCTTCTAGTTCTTGTTTGACTACATCCATTGTCAATTTGGTATCAGAGCAAGTCATTTTCAATTTGAACACCCAAATCCTTAGCCACCTTCAACTACCAAAATAATTTCCCAACCAATAGAACTAAACTGATGAAATTCAACCAGTAAAATAAGGATTTGATGTCCTATGGTCGGTTTCATTATTTGGTTAGAAAGAAAGATTGTCCTCCATGACTAAAAAGTTGCAGTATATCTCATCGGAGTTAATTTCTCTTAGTTGGGAAGAAATGAAGGAAATCTTATTAGATTTTTTATATTTTCTATTTTCTATTTTTCTATTTTTATTTTGGAAAAGGTTTATTAGGGCTTATTTACTATATTTTCCAGGATTTTATTATGTTTATTTATTAGATTCTTTAGGATTTGGTTATATATTTCCTACTTAAAATATATTTTTTTTAAACCTATGTAAAGGTTTTATACATTGTAATAGAAACAACTTTTAAAATGAAATAAAAATCTTCATCTCTCTTAATTTCTACTTCCATCAGTATATTTTTCTTCTACGTCATCCTTCTTCTCTTTTCCCCCTTATTTATATTCTTCCCCATTTTTTCCTTCTGTTCTCACCCTTCTCTTTTCTAGTTCTTATTCGTCTACAATTGTAGTCAATTTGGTGTTAGAGCAAGTTGCTTTCCTTTGGTCAAACAAATTTTGTGTTCACATTTAAAATTTGTACACCCATGTGTTAGTTTTGATACTTTGAGGAAATTAATTAACTTGAATTGCATACCTGCATTCTATATTGATTCTAACCTAAGTTCAAAATTTTTGTTGAGGCGAAATTGACAAGGTCATCATTTTAATCTATTAAAAGAATACAAAACCACTTAATTATAGTGATGTATGTGATTTAAAATTTATACAAACAAGTGGTGGCAACAGTTACTTCATCAATTTGGTTGATGATAGAAAAACATATTGTTATTTGTACCTCCTTAAAATTAAGGACGAAATTATAAAGAAATTTGTCTTCTATAAAAAGGAAAAATGAAGTTGAAAATCAATTAAATAAGAAAATTAAGGTGTTGAGAAGTGATCGAGGTAGCGAGTATAAAGCATCATTTGCTGAATTCTATGAGCAACACAAAATAATACATGAAATCATAGCACCTTATTCACCTAAGCAAAATGGTGTTACTTAACAAAAAAAATGTCGTACTTTAAAATAAATAATGAATGCAATGTTAGTATGTTATATGTTACCTCAGAACATGTGAGGAGAAGTTTT